AGGGCAGGGTGTAACATTCCTAGCTCTGCAGCTCCTTCCAGCCTGCGGGTGCCTGATGGCTTCCAGGTCAGAGCGGTATTTCTTTGGAGGTACTTCCTGGACCTGTCCTTGACCGTTGGAGCGGCTTCGGAGGACGCCTGTGCTGGAGCTGCCCGGCCTCGGGAGATGACACGTTGCGTTTGTGCTGCGGGTCATGGGTGGGAGGCGTGTACTTGAAAAGACGTCTCTTCCAGCATCTTTGTAGTCTGTGGTGGTGCTTCTCCCGTCTTTCCTGATGCCCGAGTCGTGTATTTTTTCATCAGACCCTAGCAGCCATAGGACAGCCTTTGTGAAATAATTTGGTGTAATTGGCAAATACTAAGTTTCCCAAATCATCACCATGAGTGGAAATTTCTTTGGCAAACTCATCAGAACAGTTACAAATGAATGAGCAGGCACCTGAACGAATCTCTCCCCACCTGGGAAGGATGTACACTTTACTGCTGTTCTATGGAAACAGCATTTCAGTTTCCAGAGCCATTAACTGCAGCTGTCAACATTTCATCCAAAAACACCTAAAGGACTGTGAAATGGAAGTATGTAATTTTTTAATATTTTCATTTATGTACCATAGTGAGTGTATTAAGTTACAGGCTGTTAAAAAACATTGTGACTACTTGTCCATGGTACCATTCTTTCTGACTGACTGTTCACGTTACTCTGATTTACAAAAGCACTTTGATATCACAATAGGAGCCTCTTCATGTTGCATTTGCATTCAGTGTTGACCTACTTTCTCTACGTCTTCTTTTACCTTCACCCCTTTAGATGTCACTTTGCTTCTTAAAAGGAATCCCTAAATGCCTTTGACCTCTTCCTGTGGTATCTTTTCTAGTTTATCTTTGTGTTTCTTCATGTTCTCCTTTTCTTTTTGATCATACCAAAGGATTGCAGACACTGAGCAGCTGTTTAATGCGGGAATTTTGAAGCAGACTCTCTGAAGCTTATTCTGTGCAGCATGTCAAAGTTGCAACTGCTCTGTGGCTCAAAATGCTTCGAAGGAAAATTGATTTAAAAAAAGCTCAGAGTCTGACCCGAAGCCCAGTGACATCAGTGACCTGCCATCGACTTGGTGAGATTTGGAGCAGGAACTGTGTATTTCAATAACGAAATCGATCACATCCTTTAAACTAAAAAAACAAAAAAAGAAAAAAAAAGAAGTAGAAAATGGTTCAGTAACTAGCAGCCATGAGTACACTTCTGATTAAGGCTTAAACAGGTTCAGAAAATGTCACCAGCCCACACAGGGACAGCGACTGAAATCTCCAGTGAGGGAAAAGGTCCTCAGCGCACAGTCACATCTGTAATGACGCAAGCTGCAAAGGGTAAATAACAAAAATAGCACATTGCAAGACTTTGTGAATAGCGCAAGGCAGGTGCCCACGGCTGCAGGAAGCTCTGTGAACAGGGGTGCGGTCTGCCTGCCTGCCTGCCCGACGCTGCAGCCCCCGGCCCCCCCCGATCTCCAGTGAGGGAAAAGGTCCTCAGCGCACAGTCACATCTGTAATGACGCAAGCTGCAAAGGGTAAATAACAAAAATAGCACATTGCAAGACTTTGTGAATAGCGCAAGGCAGGTGCCCACGGCTGCAGGAAGCTCTGTGAACAGGGGTGCGG